CAGGATTTCACCAAAAGCTCCATTTCCAAAAGCCTGAATATTCAGTTAGACATCACAGTTTGGAAATGTTCACTGAAATAGCTACACCATGGATTTCCTCATACAAAGATGCTTTGTACTCAGCCCAAGAAACTGAAGCACTCTCAGAAGAACAACTTTTAACAGATTTGATAACTGAAAGATCTTTGGCTTTGCATCTTTTGAAAAAAGCAGTACATCACCCTTCCTTGTGTTAATGTCTGAGACCTCTTCGATGCAAACACAATTCGCTGTTGGTACTTCATTTTAGAAAGGTGATGTTATCAGGTACGTGATGTGATGTCCATATCATCCTATTCTGTTTATTTTCATTTAGGCTTTTGGTGAAATTAAGTTCACGTCACACACATTTCAGGCTAGCAAGCGTCTACTGAATCATGAAGTGCAGTCACTTCTGACTGCAAGACGTGTAAACCAAAGATGTGGGGCAAAGGTGCCTTATCTCAGAGACAGGAGCAGAACAGCCCTTCTGCCAGCCACGCACAAAGCAGCCCAGCACAGCTAGGAGCAAGGGAATACAAGGAGTCCTGCAATCAGCAAGGGAGCTGCCACTATTTAAATAAACTAAGCACAGTTCATTTTAAATCATGATCTGCTTACTTCTTCTGCATCTGTTCCAAAGCTATCCATAATACCTGTAGGCCAATAAAAACAGTAAGTACCTCACAGTCTATGATTTCATCTTAATTTGTACACACTTTCACACCTACACCCACGCACTTTCTTTAGCTTAAAATATATCCCCTCCTGGGGGATCACGAGAACATAAACACTCTTATTTTGGAGGCAAGAAATTTGTTTTAAATTATTTATCAAAATAGCTTAAGGTACTCGTAATCAAGAAATGTGTAACTTTATCAGTCGAGGTTTTTAAGAACAGATTACATTTTTATCTGCTGAGAACAATACTTCAAAAAATAAACTTAACTTGAAAGAACAAAACCCCACCGATTCACAGTATCAGGGTGCACTTGAGAAAGAAGAAAAAAAACCCAGAGCTGCAAACATTCGCAATTAAATTTGGTATTCACAGCTTTTTAAAGCATTCTTTAAGACAATCAGTCCGCAGTGGTGCAGTGGTAACTGAGGGCCTGAAGTTCACACGTCAAAACACAGTGCTGCAGGAAAACGAAAATTAACACATGAACTGCTTTCACACAGACATTTAAAAGAGTACTACTTCTCAGGGGTTGCAACACCTACAATCAACACAGTTCCTCTTAAGGTTTTACACATTTAAAAGCCAACAGCACATTGCCATGAAAATAGAAGTTTGCAATTCTATTCAAATTCCTAATACACGATGAAAAAAAAAAGGTAAAAATTCACTAAAACAAACCTAGTTTTGAAGAACAAGCTCTGGATCATATCAAACCTAAAAGCAAGAGTATATCTTTCAATGTTTTGCAGTTATATTATTGCAATTATTGTATTTTCCCTGCTTTTTTCTATCATCACTGCACTTAACCTGTATATAATGTATTTTTCTCTCTCAGCCAAACTCTTTTTCTGTTGTTTTTGTTTGCGTTTTTTTTTAATGCTATTAGAACACAGATCAGTGTGAAGCAACCTCCAAAGCATTCTGAATTAATACACACTCTGAACTGAGTGTATTGTCATCATTCATGTACTACACTCAGTACGCTGATAGAACACTTGTCCAACTCCAGCTGGGGATTTGTGATAGGTAAGATTTGTCTGATTGTGACAGACTCAGTCAGAAGGAAAATAAAATTGTTTGTGAATTCAGTAATGCATAAACCACATTCAAGGAGAAGTTACTCTGGAGGTTTGATCCAAATCCCAAGGAATGTATTCTGCTACTGCCAAACCTGTAGAATTTGCTGCCATTTCATATTGGTTTACTGTGACTGCCAGTTGAGGACCACATTTAGAAAATGCAAGGAGCAGAATATCTGTTACAACCACTGCCCACAAATAATACTATTTTCCAGCTTCTCATGGATATATAATCTACTGATTCAAACAGAAGTCCTGGAACAGTGCTCTCCTAATATTGCTTGCCCAGAAATGTTTATTGAAAAGTTTTCTGTCGTGGTTTGGGGCTGGACTGGCCACTAAATCCTGGACAGACACTCTCTATTAACCCCTTTCCCCTCCCGAGAAGGGAAGAGAAAGAGAGATAAGAGAGACTTTATGGGTTGGTTAAAAGGAAGCTGTCAGAAGTGGGATTCGAACCCACGCCTCCAGGGGAGACTGCGACCTGAACGCAGCGCCTTAGACCGCTCGGCCATCCTGACCCAGGATACCTGTGTTACCGCACTTTACAAGGAACAGTTTTTCTCTTAAAAAGCTGCGACTGTTTTCAATAGTTCATCTGTTTTGATAGCTGCCATTCTATATACCGCTAATGCACACAGTTATCAATTCCTATTAGATTATTTCCCAAGTCTCTAATTCAGTCTGCGTGGATGGGCTGTGTAGCCCATAAGTACCCTCAAGAAAACTGAGGGCCTTCCCTGGAACAAAGAGCTGAGCTGCACATTCAGCTGCCAGGGCTCCTAGAGCTTCTTCTTTTTGCAGTCTTCTGAACGACTAACTTTCCCTCCAGCATAAACATATAACATCACAGATATATTTAGGATTTTTCAGTTTTCTATATGAACTACGTATCTTTACAGAAATGCTGTGAAACTCTGCATATTTGGTTAATATAATATGATGAAAAGAGGAAATTCTGATTTAAGTACATTTCATGTACCTTTATTTCACATTCCTATTTCACAGAGAAACTGCCAGATTTGATACATGCTTGTAACTGAAGAATTTACTTATCTAAGCTTGGACACGAATTGCCCTGTTATCAGATCTTGTCATGGATTTCATGTCCTCTCTATGGTATAGACTGGCCAGGAAAAAAGGGGCATGAATTGCAGGTATGAATGTAAACTGAGCTAAGATATCTAAGCTTAGCTCTACGAGGTTATAACCATATTTTCAAACCAATTTTCCACATTCCAGTTACCTTGTTTAGATTTTTGATAACCCCCAAAATTTCAAACAAAAAGCTCTTACTGTAAGCATTCTTGAAACACTTGACAAGTTCATGTTTCAAGATACTGCCACTTTAATTCTTCCAATGGCACCTTCCAGCTGGGTACATTCAGACTGGAGGTGTAGGACTCCCTAAAGCATGATGCTTTCTATGAACCCCATAAAACACACCATGTATCGTACCTCCCCCAAGGGTCTACTTCACCAGCATGTATAGCACTCAACATAGAACTCAACTGCATCTCCTTCACATAAGTGCAGATTGCACTGTGTGTAACAAAAATGGTCTGTGGAGTTGATCCAACAACTGATCCAATGATTAAACCCATGCAGCCAAAACTGTTTCTTCACTTGCCATCCCATCCTTCTTGCAGAGGTCCCCATCCTCACTGACAGACCAGTGAATTGCATGTGAAGTATTTCCTCAGCCATCACAGTTGACAGATTATCAAGTTAAAGCAAGCTGAAGCCAGCATTGATTTAGGTCACTATGTCAGACTAAGTGGTGGTTCAGGAAGAGCTTTATAAATTTTTCAGACATCTCCATAGCAGTGGAAGAAAGAAGAAGGAGGAGGAAAGATGGGTGAGGCTATTAAAAAAAGAGAGGGAAAAAAGGAAAAGAAAAAAAAAAGAAAAAAGGGAAAAATCTGTTATGGAGGAAAATTGCAGAGGCAGTTGTAATACTCCTGAATTTATCTCAGCAATATGAGCAAAAGAAGTTCCAGAGCTGAACATATCTGATAAACTGAAGTTACGCTCATGCCAGTCCAAGGATTCACTCACATGGTGACAGCAGTTGTGCATTTCTTGCTCTCACATATTTTTTCCTTGTTTCACAGATTTCTGCTTAGCAGCAATAGTAAACTGAGTATTTGTGTAAGCAGCTACTTTAATCAGTCTACTACCTAGGAAAATCAAAGCAAATTACCAAACTAAAAGGAATCACCAAAAATGTTTTCTTGGAAGTGAGTCAAGTTTTCCTCTCATCGACATTCAGCACCAGTGCCATAGCAAGCAGAAGGAAAAAGAAAGCAAACAAGAAACATTAACAAACAGAAAGCAGAGGAGAGGAAACATGTTATTTCTTAATTTAGAGGAGAAAGTCAAGGTTTGAAACACAGTTTATGAAAGTCTCCTTGCAGTGAGTTGTATTTGCATGGGACAGACAAAAGGAGATTTTAATTCATTTTGCACTATTCTGTACCTGTGCACCAAGTTAAGGGATACATTTCCAGAAAGAATGGAGACAAAGACGGGCATACAAACATCGCAGTCTTTAACAGATACAGGGTTTTTTCTCTTCATCTTGCAAAGTACCCAAGCACAAAAGCCAGGATATGTAGCACACAGCTGCCACTAATTCTGCAAAATCTGTACTTCACAAAAGCCATTCACTTCCTCATTAAAGTTTATTTATCGGTAACAGGGGGCCAGGGTGAGGAAAGAGAAGCAAAATGAGGGTTTTCAGGACACTGACAGATAATGTCTGATGGTCAGGTCAACTATTCCTTGATGATCAACATAAACAGTAGCTCCACGATTGTCATTATTTTGGATTATCACTTTAATTCACCTCCTTCTACCTCTACTTTCTTTTCATTGCTCCAGCTACAGAAGAAGCAGCAGAAGGTTTTAAATGATACCATGTTTATTTTTATCAGGTACCTTCTCTCCTATGACCTGCTGCAAAGAATTAATTGCCATCATTGTTGCAGCTCCTTACCTGTCTAGTAAGGGAGTAGCAATATCCTGTATTTGACTATGAGAAGTTTATGGACAGGGTAAGCTTAAAAGGGAATAAGTCTAATTCAGTGTTAGTTAGGTTTAGTCTTCTGAAGTCTTGTAGATAATTCCTGACATTTTCCCCAAAGTGTATTGCATCAGACAGACCAAACCAAAGGTAGCTATTGAGAACTGTTAAAAGTTAATAGGGCTACAAAAATAAGTTTTAGAAAGGATTCCCATTCCTTGAGATTTAACAGATCACAAAAGAAATTAGCCATTTTTGTTACCCTGTTACCAACAAATTACTGTAAAGTTTATGAATCCTTGTTTCATAGGATTCAAGTGTTTTTAGCAAAATACATAAAACTCAAGTAGTGGTTCCTCAAATCAACTTAACAATGAAACGTACCTTTACAAAAACATACCTTGATCTGTTTAAAACATCTGCAACAGGGAAAAAGTCTGTGCTCTCAATTAAATGCATGTGAACTTCCTTATAATAAACAGAACAAGAAATAGGCAAATGTGTAAATAAAGGCAGAATTTGGTTTCTGTGATCTCTCTGTAGTACTTTTTTCCCCAGGAATTCATTAATCTTTGCAAATACTCCCGGAAGGAGCAATACATGAACTATATGTAAAGATCCATACCAAGATATTCAACACCAAGTCTTGCGCATGACTCCAAGCAGGCATTTTTGGTGTTTTCATAGCCATAATCACTATGCCACAGTTTGGTAGTTATCCAGAGGTCCTCTCGCTTCATGCCACTCTCTTCAATGGCTTTCTGGAGGAGAGATTCACAGCCGTATCTTTTTGCTGTGTCAATATGACGAATGCCACAGTTTTGTAATGCATGGACCACGGCGTCGTGGGAATAGCCACCTTGATGTGAAGTACCTAAACAAACGACATAAGAAGTGAATTGTCAGCAGTGAATTATGAGGGACATATAATCCTTTTTTATTTTTGTTTTCCTTTTTTTGTATATTGTCATAGAACTTTCTTATTCAATTTTCATTTCCTAACAGTAAAGAAACGGGAACTGACAGGTCTCTAGGCTGGGAAAATACAGGAAGTGCTAGAATGCTAATGCCGATCAGAAATAATTCCACCAAAATCAAGTATCAGCAGCATTTAACTGTAAAGAAGTGATTTCAGAAGTCAGGCTGAAGATCAAAGAGAAAACACATGCTTTATGGAAAATTAGTGTATCACACTTGATTTTCATATGGGACAACAACATTTACAGATGAAATATTGACAATAAGAAATAAAATATAACTTAAAAAGCAATTTACTTTACAGAAAGTATATCCTGAAATATTTACTCTGTTGAATTCCAGGTAGCTTCAAGTTATTATTGCATTGTACAACTCCAGACCGGGCCATTCTGCAGGTGCAATTCACATAATGTCAAGCTCGACAGTAACCAAACCAATGGAATCCTACACAGGAGTTCCACAACGGGCAGACAGGCAGTTTCAGTAACAAAGTGCCCTAACTCTCATTGTGTAGGTATTCACTGGATGTGTATTTTGCATGTCAAGGGGACGGAAGG